TGTTCCTTTGCATCAATTAATCATGTTGCTCAAACAACTTGCGTGCTCATATTCCAATTTCCTTTTCAAAGAATCATCGGGTGAGTGAGGAAGAAGAGTTGAGAATTCCATTAGGGTCCAACAACTTTTTAAGGGAAGCCATTAAGGCAACGTGCAAAATATTATATCCAGGTAATGGACCCGAAAAAGTTCTATATGTAGTTCGAATTTGTTGTCTTGTTTAACTCACGATTTCTGGTGATTTGCTGTAGACGATTTCATTAGCTTTCACTACACCTAATCCGTGTTATGAGCTAATGCTTCCATGGTGCTCTTGCTTTCCGTAATACAACAAACCAAAGTAGGCACATAGCATTCTAGTGTGGCACATAGCAACTGAGCTCTTACACCAAACCGAAGTAGGCTGTGCAGAAAGAAATGTCAAATACAAAGAGTTCAGCAAAAACCCTTTCAGAATACAAAGAGTTCAGTAATACGTTTTGAAAACATTTAAAGACTTCTTGCAATCGCATCAAGCTGGAGAAGAAACACCAGACTTTGCAAAATGACGTTCTGCCCTTGACAGCTAGCATTTTTTTTTTTATGATATCATGTCGTTGAGATTTGAGAACGCAGGCCCATTTATGTATAGGACCTAAAAATGGTAAGCATTAGAGAAAGTTTGGCCAATTTCATTAAGAAATTTGTTTACATTCATTTTGACATGAAAACAATCAATTTTTCTTTTTCTTGTCAAAAATCAATTTTTTTTTTTTTTTGGCTAAGTAACAATCAAAATTTTCAGTATGAACAACTCTCCAGAGTAATAAATTCTCCGAGTCGGAGATTTTACCTGTATTGTAACAACACCTTTGAACATATTCCGAAGCGAGTGACCACCAAAGACATACACTCTACATTTTCAATTTTAACGTTTTGAAGTTTTCATGTGTTCATAGACTTTGATGCAGAGTTAACTAAAAAAATCTTATGAAGGATAAGAAATTTACGCATCCATAAACATTCCATTATCACTTAAGCATTTCACTTTCGTAGTACCTGGTAATACTTCCTTAAACTGATCGCAATGCAGAATCGAAGCTGAACAGCCAGACAATAGAGCCTG